TTGACCTCCAAAAAACTAAAAATTCAACTTGATTATTTTGGACCGAGGAATTGTTTTCCTAGCCAAGTATAGTATCAGGCTTCAACATTGAATACGGGCACCTGTTTTACAGGTATCTTTTTCTTTTATTGATTTTTGTAGATCAAAACCCTTCATATAAAGCTTCTCGAATTAAATCTCGTCACCGTTGGGTTTAATTAATATAGTTGTTCTGGTGGCCGATTGCAGCATGTTTTCGCAAAGAAACCTGTATATTGATTTTCCCGCATTGCCTTCTTTTAGAGCCAAGTTGATGAGACTAAATGACGATTCAGGTAATTTTTGTGCCAACATTGGAGCAAAAATTTTAGAAAAATTTTAAACCTCGAGTGAAATATATCGATGGGAAAAGTCTAACATAGTGTACATCCGTTTCAATATCTCCGATCATATTGAATTTATTCAAAGCAATCAAACCAAAATATTTCATTGAACTTTCTGTGTGAATATCTTTGAATAAGTGAGAAGAATCCATACAAAAATTTCAAGAAGAACTGTTGGATGTTTTTTTATTTAAAAAAAAAAGGTAAAACTGAGGCAGAAATTTGCAACATCGCAATTGGAAATACACTTTCCCGAGTTTAACCATTAAAATGAAGACTTCTAATATACTAAACTTCCTCAAAGCTGAGTAGGGTATGCTAAAAACTTCTTACCGTTTTAATTCTATTTCGGTTTTAAATTAGGCGTCCCGTCTAGGGCTAAAATATTATTTAAAAACCTCTCGACACAAAGGTGCCAATATTTGCGATTGAAATTCGGCAAATTTAAAGATTTAAATTAAACATCGGCATCAAAGGTCCCTTCACCCTTCGAAAGGTCGCATATTTAAAAACCATATGGAGGACCGTAGAGAAGATGCCTCATCCAAGTAGGATGTCTGTTCACCCATGCAAAGCGGCGATGATTGGGTTATGGACTCAGCACTAAACGTTAACCTTGAGGCAAATCAATACTTTTCTTGAGAAATATGCGACCGCGGTTTCCGTCGCATTCTATTTTCCTTCCTCTTTCTTCGTTTCTTTCTTTGAGTAGTTCCGTAGTCTCGCGATTTGTATTTCCGACAGCAGTCGGCATGAACTTCAACCAAAAATGATCGTATTCTCCTCTTCCTGAATTCTATTCGTTTTGTAATTGGACCTATTCTAATCGTTAAACGTTGGTTGTTTTCCGGAAAAAAAATAATATTAGCTGGATGTTTTTAACGCCTGTATGCGTGAATGAGAAAATCTTCATGTAATATTGCAATGCTTTTTGTGATGATACATCAAACTTCACTTACCTTGAAATGGACCACTAGACAAGGTACGAATTTAAGCATTCTGATACATGCTCCTTAACCAAAATTTCACGTAAAGCACGATTTGCGCAACGAAAACTAATGAAACAAAATCCAAACGAAGATATTAACATATTTATTTCACATTGGTTCCGAGGAATTTGAACTGCCCGCTGACAAGAAACTCAAAGCTCTACGTGAGCCAAATCGCGCACTACAACGGTTTCAACAAACTTCTCAATCTAGTAATGTTCATTTCCCACCATGTGTTGTTCAAACTATAAGCAATTTGCTACAGCTGAGCCAAAGTGTCAAGATTGAGGTCGCCAGACTTTTATATCGCAGAGACTGTCATGATAATTTTTAGTGCACGATGTGAATCACGCAGAGCATTGAGTTTTCATGAGCGGGTGGTTTGAATTGACGCATCAAGAATCATCAAATATCTTTGGAAGGAGTTGATTTCGGTAATTTTCGTTGTGCGCGTCGTATTCTACGTAAAATTTTAATTAAAAAACATGTATCAGAATGCTGAAATTCGTACCTTGTCTAGTGGCCCATTGTTTTATAGCACCTCAACCGCCTCTACAGTCGCCAGCAATATTCACATCCACACAATTAAAAAATGTATCTGTATTAAAGGGTTGAAAATCATCCTAGGTAAATTAATGCATATTATTCATGAGTCACGAATACAGCCTTATTTTTGTGAAGATAAATTGATAAAGGATTGGTTAAAAATTCGTTTATCTTCGAATAAATCGGTGCTAATCGAATCGTCGCTCCTCTAATGTATGTAAGGACGTATCTCGATTTGCGCTTGAGCCCTTGCTCTCCATGTAATTCTATGCTTGCCGGGGCTCAAGTGGAAATGGATATACGTCCTTACATAAGAGGGTGATTTGCTCTTTATAACTCTCCCTTTTTACATCTTGATCATACAAATTGTTAGCTCTAGAGATCTACTAAGCCGATATTTAACATGAATTTGGCAACTATGAGTAGCTGACTAGGTTTTATAAAATTACGCAATCAAATTGTAAATTTTCTCAATAAAACGGGGAGAATATTAATCGTGCGGGATTTCGAAATGAACTGGGTCGATTTTTGTGGAATTTGGGGCTACTGCTGGTGATAAACTCGAGATGAGTCCGCTTTCTAAATTTTTTTGAAGTAAGTCCAAAGAGGGGCTTCTTTACGAATGCGGTGTGCCCTTGTGCGTTTCCTTTAGTTTAACATGCATTAAGGGCCTTGGATGAAAAAGCGCATAAGTGCAGTTTTTGCTGTTTCAAACGAAAAACGTGACTTAATATTCAAAATTACATATGGAGCCTTATTACGGAAAGGAAGTGTAAACTTACTATTTGATGCTTTAAAGTTGAATTTTAGTTGTTAATTTTTCGCAAAGTATACTTTCAAACTAGTTTTAGTTGAGTTCATGGATATCACGATGTTTTCAAAAACTGCACTTAAGCTCCTTACGCGCGTCCTCCAAGACCCTCAAGTGGACTGCGTGAAGCAGAAAGGAACCAAGCCACACCAGCTATTGCCAAATTTAATTAGGAAATTTAATTTTTTACATTAAAACCGATGTGTGGATTTTTGTGCGGATTTCAGTGACTTTTCTGCCTAGTAGGAAGAAAATACCTTAAAGTTTTAGAGGCATCCGCACAAACCATTCTTTGTAAAAAATTAAATTGCCCAGTTAAATTTGACAATAGCTGATGTGGCTGGGTTCCATTCTGCTGAACGCGGTCCAACCATTAGGAAAACTTTTGGCTTCTCGTGGTAGACTTAAAATTTTAATTAAACGGGATTCCTACTGATCCTTTCGCGGATCTCAAATTCAACAATCCCCGTAATTGGTGGATTGTGACTTGCAGCTTCTTCGACATGAAAACAAACCGAGGGATTAATCACCCGCATTCGATCGATTTCTGTTTGCGGAGAGCGATTGTGGGCTCGTTACACAACAGAACACCTGAGAAAAACCTAATGTCGTCTACGGCAGCGGTATGACATGGCGATGGAGTAGGAAAACTCAGCGTTTTTACTCTCGAATTAAATCATTGTGTAACCGTCACTTCAATACAGGGCAAACTTCTATTTTGTATTTTTTATTTTATTTTTCTTTACACTCACATTGTTCGACGGCGCCCTCAGGTTAGTCACACCGTTACGCAACGACTCCTTTTTGAACCAGACCCAATTACTCCGGTGCTACCTTGTCACTCCTCTCGACGCTAATAACCGCCCGATGCCGGTCAGAGGTAATTCACCGCACAATACTCTCCTGTGCTACCCTACTCCATCATTCGTACCCGCTAATGAGTCATCAGTTAGTTATGGTCTCACATTGAAAAAAAAGCAAAATAGGAAAAACACACGTTGAGTCAAATGGACCGAGTTCATCAGAAAGGCACCAACCCATATTTTCGAAGAAATTGAGTTAAGAATGTTTTTGAGTTCCACTAGTCGTATGTATTCCCCTGTCAAATACTCAAAGTTTAGGAACAAAATTGTTCCATGCAAAGAAGGGGTTCAAGTTCATTTTCTACATTGAGCCTTTTGGAGAAATAAAACTTCAAACCTCTTTTTCTCAGTTTCAACTTTATGTGGGTTGGTTTCTTTCTGTTGAACTTGTTTCAAATTTTGTATACTGGGTAGAAAATTATCAATCATCAATTTTTTAAATTCACCAAACCAGTAAACCAATTAATTCCTCCGATTTTGAAATTCAGAATATCCGATTAATTTTTAATAAAATACTACCTGAAATGTATTGACGGACATTCTTTGTCGGATCTTATAGGTCTTCTGGGAATATATCGACGGTGAAAAAACCAGACCACGTATCTCGGTTTGCAACGTTATAGACTCCCTGACATATTATATTTTTAAATGGAAAACTACTCAAAGTCAATTCTTCAAAATGTGATTTTTCTTCTGTGTCGGAAAACTTCAAGGAACTACCGATATTGATTTTTTCTCCTTAAAAAAAACTAAAATGGGAGTGGGGATTTTTAGACAACGCAAACGAGATACGTGTTCTGATAGTTCGTCGATATGTATTATCTCTAATGCTTTCAGCAACTTTTTTTTTTTTTTTTTTTTTTTTTTTTGTAAACTTTGCAGTGTTCGATAAAATTATATTTTTTACAATTTTGCTTCTTATTCTAATTGATCAGTAAAACTGAAAATAGTTGTGCTTCCGTCAATATTTACGTTTAAGTTATTGAAAATTTGAGAATTTTTAGATAAAATTGACGATTTGCCAAGCATTTGACAAACTTCCTGATTTGACCAAGGGTCTTTGACAAAATAGGCGAGTAATTTAAGGCTATATTTTTTAAAAATGCTTCATGTGATATCAACAAATTATCCTCTGTTATTGGTTGAATTATACTGCTCTCAGCGTGTCAGCCCCTATATGTATCTAATCAAGGTTTATCTCATCTGTAACCATGGTTTTAGAGGTAAAAAGTTCCAGTAAGTGCTTTCATTTAATTTTATGATAATAATTTTGATCACCATGAGAATGAATGTTTTTATATTTTACGTGCATTATGTCTGAGAAAGCTGCAGGGGTAATTTCGAGCGAATGGGCGCGATCAAATATTTCAGAAACAATCACGTTTCAACTATTCAAACGGTTCATCGATATGTAAATAAAACGAAGGAGTTACAAGTTTAACTTGTTTTCTATAATCATGATGTTTTTACAAGTGACATTTTTGTGCGCAGTATTTAAACATACCTACAAGACTTTTTCGAGAGTAAGTTTTTTCGACGATATGAAAGTACAAAAGTAAGAATACTTAAATAAACTTAGAGTAAAACCTTAACTACTTAAACTAGACCTATTTGACAACAATTAGAATTTAACAATACACTAAATAAGACAAAATTGGAGGAAGGTACAAAAACGGTAACGTAATTCACAATTAAATCACAGATCAAGTCTTTCCATAAAGTTAATCTTCCTTGATTCATCATCATACTCCTTCGCATTCACTCGAACATGATACTTTTTCAAAGATATTGTATTTGCCTAATGATCCGTTAAAATTGATCAGCTGATACGGAGATATTGTATTATTGAAGCAATTATTAAATGACTAGCTGGACGCAGTGAAAACCGTCAGCTAACCTCGTGTCTATGGCCTTGCAATGGAGCTTTGGCTCCTATCCTCAACTATACTGCGCCACCTCATGTTTATCAAATATTGAAAGATCTAATTCAAAAGGGTCTTTGGCATCAGCAGCTGCGCCATCGTAGAATTTACTAAGTCCTTCCGCTGGTGGCGTCTTTTCGTCTTGTCTGTCGGTGGCACCCTCAGTGAGTCGCGAGTAGTGTCCGTGATGTCCACCACCGCCGCCGCCGCCATGCACACCATGGTGATGACCATGAGCCAGATGACCGCTGTGTTTGTGGCCATGGGCATGATGTCCCTGATGCTTGTGGTGATGACCATGAGATCCGTGATGCTTGTGGCCATGTCCAAGATGTCCACTGTGTCCGTGACCGTGGTGAGCTTGACCTTGATGCTTGTGGTCGTGGGCAGCGTGACCGGCGTGGTGGTGGTTGTGCTGACCGTGCAGCGCATGTTTGTGCGAGTGTCCGGCCGTCCCGTGATGTTTGTGGTGATGTCCGGCTTGACCGTGATGCTTGTGATCGTGCTCCGCGTGTCCGTGATGTTTGTGGCTGTGTCCGTGATGACCCTCGTGCGAGTGGTGATGTCCGTGCTGTCCATGGTGCTTGTGTCCGTGTCCGTGGTGACCTTCGTGCTTGTGATGATGGCCGGCGGATCCGTGGTGCTTGTGGTCGTGGGCGTGGTGACCGTGGTGTTTGTGATCGTGTCCGTGGTGACCGCTGTGTTTGTGGTCGTGTCCGTGGTGTCCGGCATGTTTGTGGTCGTGGCCATGGTGTCCGTGGTGCTTGTGGTCGTGGCCATGGTGACCGTGGTGCTTGTGGTCGTGTTCTCCGTGACCGACGTGCTTGTGGATGTGATCGACGCGACCCTCGTGGATGTGTTTGTGGATTACCTCTCCTTTGTGGAGGTGCTCGCCGTGGTGACCTCCGCCGCCTCCTCCGCCGCCGCCGCCGCCATGTCCATGGTGGTAGCCCGCGAAGGGTTGAGCATAGTGGCCGCCTCCTCGATCCTCGTTGTCGTCCTCGTAGCCGCCATCCGCGTCGAAGCTCGTGTATCCGCCGACATTGTCACCTTTGCCCGGGTGGAGCACTTGATACTTGGTCAGCGTCGGCTTCGTCCCACTCGCGGAGGCTATCTCAGTCACCGTGTTTCCGACTTTCTTTATGCTGAAATCATAGAATCTGTGTGAGTGTCGATCATTAAGAATTACTGGCGGAAATTGAGGTTTCTTGGGATACCAAAATCTTAGGCATGAGAATTTTCTTTTAGGAGTCTGAACTAATAAATTCCTACTCCTTCTGATAACCTTTTTATTTAAAGATTTTTTTTCTGATTTTTAATAGAAGGAAAGAGAATGGTACATTCGTTGTTGCGTTTTCTACTTGTTGAGTTTTTTTTTAAATTATTGAGACTGAATCATGAAAAATGTCGTCGCTGCTTTACATAAAGACGTAAATCAATTTTTGCATGACCCTTATAGTCTGTGTTTTTAAAACTCAAGCAGGAATGGACACGTCCTTGCGTCACACAGTGGATCGAGTCAATTAGAGAGATCGGGCATGACATTTTTTACTAAAACTGCAAATTTTGATGTTAATTTCGTCACATTTTAAACTTCAAGAGATGCTTTCAGAAGGAAATTTCACGAGGAAACCAATAATGGAACCCTTTTTAGAACATCAAAATTTCGTATAAACGGAGTTATGAGCGTTTAAAGTTTCTGAATTGTGTCCAACACCTCTTATTGACTCGTTCCATTGTGCGTCACCGGAGCGATGATTTGTGATGATACAGAATTAAACTCGAGATATCAGAGAATCAATATACCAAAGAGAAAAAGGAAAGTGAGTGTTAAAATTCTGAGGAGGGTGCTTCAAGTGAACTCTTCAGTAATGTACAAATTTTGGAAATTTGTTTGATTTTCAATATCTTGCGGGGAATATTCGGTCAAAATGTTCAAATTTGTGCGTGGATTATCAATTGTTAATTTTAAAATATTGATAAAATGAAACTGTGTTAAAATCGTGAAAGAAATGAGCACTTACTCTTCGGCGGACTGAGCCTGCGGCAAAGCCTCCGTCCGACATAAGAGGACCAGGGAGGATATTGCTAATCCTATTAGCTGGAAAAACATAAGAAAGAATGAATTATTTATTCATCAGCTGGACTTAACATTTACACAGTTGATTATGCATATTCTTCAATCGAGGGTAAGAAAAGTTTGTACGTTATTATTTTGCGAAAAAATATTTAGTCTCATTTTAATCGCAAAAAATTAAGTGAAAGGAAGATTCCATACCTCCTCAAAAAAACTATTCGGGAGAGATAACATTGAATTTTGAGATTAAAGTGCACGCCCGAATATTTCCGACATGATTTTATAAAATTTAATTTAAATTCCTGTCAATTTTTTGGTCAACCTACGATCAGGGACAAAATTGAAATGGTCTCAACAGTTGCCATAATCAGATGCGGCACGCAGCCCCCACTCCCCCCCTCTCGATTTTTGCAAACGTGATTATTCGTTGCAATGGAAACAGCATGAAGCAAACGGTTTAGGTGTAATATTCACCGTATGTTTAAAAACAACTGATGTGCTATTGACTTACGTCAGCCGTGGATGGTTGTTGCGAGTGTTTAGTCTTATGACCGTCGCGAGCCCTTTCTCAATGTTTTATGTACGTGTCCCTTCTCAACGTATGGTGGCACCATAGAGTACATTGAGTCGTAATGTCAATAGGAAAGCTGGCGCCACGTTCTGCTCGACGAATTCCGAGCCCTGTGTGCGCTGAGCTTCGGTCACTTTTTCGATACATGTTCGATCCAAATGGTGGTGTGGAATACGTGGTAATTCCTACCTATTTTGTTTACATTGGATGACCGGGTACCCTTGCATCGAAAAGTGACCCGGCGTCACACAGGGATCTCAGAATTCGGGACCTAGAAAATGCTTCAAATTGGCGCCAGCTCTCACACTTACATTACGATTCTATGTGCCCTATGGGCGCTTTTCCAATACGGTTGAAAACAGACATTTTCTAAAAGAATTGAATGCAGATGTATCTGATTTGAGTAACGTTATCTAATAGCTGGGTTCGTTTAATTTCTCATCCGGAAATGAAAAATGTTTCCCAGTTGCCAGGTGAACCAACGTTGAGCGCGAGTGCACGGGTCAGGGAATTCAAGGACCCACGACGATTTTGGCAAAAACGATATTGCCGACAGTCTGACTGAAAATCGCGAAAATTCGCGCGATTTCCCACGAGTCATGGTCACTGGGAAATACCCGAGAGACGTGCCAGTGCCGGGACAGTGATCCCGGGACCTTGAAGTAATTACTATCAGTCGTCGTTTCGACACTCCGAACATTGCAGTTTCTGTCCTTTCCTTCTCTCTCCCTTCCTCTCCTGTTTTCGCTGCCAATGACACCATTCCACTTGGGCTGTTTCATTTAAATTTTCGTTCAGGATATCGGAGGGAATCAGATGATTAACCGTGATGTGCGCCCGGAGCGCGTTTTGTAACGGCCGACGAAAATCGGGCCCGCCGAGATTGAGCAAACGTGGTCAACCATCGTTACGGCAACGTTGAAAAATATTGCCAAATTCGGATAATTTTCGCTCGCCATAGCGCCCGCCTTGAATTATCACCATGAGTGGGCTTCCACACTCACACCGTGTTAGGACTTATGCGCGAATAGAAATGGCGAAACGAAAATTTCACTGATCGACCCCCCGGAATTTTGACCAACACGCGCTCACAATGATTAAAGAACGGTCAGGTTTTCCATAACCCCTTTCATTAGCGTGGACATTCCTTGCGACACTCACGCATGCATACTTTCTTCGTGTGCAGGTTGCGTGTGGCTTGCGCTTTCACGGTCCGGTGTTTAATGCGTGCCGTGAGAATTTCGAGCTGTGCGTTACTAAACGCATTAATTAAGATGCCAGTGCGTGAGGACTTCGATACTATTTCGGAGCCCTCTGGAATGCGCGGATATTGAAACGTGCAAACATAGTATATCCTTGGATGACATCATGTATTACTGAATCTGGATGAAAATAAGTAGTAGTCGAGAGATATTGCACTTCATCATTCCGCAGACTTATTGGTGTATCCGTCGAAGGCAAACATAGTCAAATCAGACTTTTTTTCAAATGCCTAGACGGACAGTCAAATTTTCAGAGTTTATGAGGTTTCTTATATGCTTTCATTGAGACCTCTCGAGTTTCTAATATTTTAAGAGTAAAAATTCATGAAAGTGCAGCCTGCCATTGCATTTCCCGCTTTCAAAATGATCCTCATATTTTCTCAATCGTCCAAATTGTGAAAACTATTTATTTTATTCAATGCTGTTTATTTTGAGATAAAGGCGCATTGAAGGACTAGAAATAACTTATTTATCATTTTATGCGGAAAATTTGTACAGAGAATTCCTTCCCACATGATCAGAGAATTATTTCGTCTACAGTTGGCAACATAATCAGAATCACAGATTAAGAAAGAATATTTGCCTATTTGCCTAGGCATTTAACCAAATGTCTGATTTGACAATCAGCCTGCGACTTATCCAAACTTTGGAATGAGCCTTGTTATCCATACAGCGACATTGTAAGTTTGCAACCAACTATATCCGTTTGCGATGTTGCAGACCTCCTGTCTGATTTTTTGGATTTGAGCGAATGTATCTAAAGTTTATATAAATCACGACGGTTTAAAGTTATAGCTGCAACTTATCAATTTTAAGTTCATATTTACGAGAAAGTCGCATAAATAGTATTATGCATCTGCATTGCTTGTTGACCCTTCTCTGCTCTCGAAAATTTCTCATTAAACTCTCATAATGTTTTGTGAAGCTACGACCATCCTCGTCTTACGTTTCTCTGTGAATGGATTGTATACGCCAGACCCATCTGAAATATCATTTCTCATCATTTGTGTGAAGCAAACTGAGAGAGCAGCTGTCAACTTTCTGCCAGCCAAGTGATGGCGTGAAAAATTAATGATACTAAAAACGTAATATTTAAGAAACTGACCACCGGTTAGCGATTTGATGGAGAATGGCTCATAAAAAATAAATTTACGAGCTTAAATTACTATCAGTGACCGTTTCCGTACACATTCAATTTCACGCGTCGTTGCGTTTTCAAGTATTGTAAAAGACATTAGCGCTTCATCGAATATTTAGTAGAACAGTCTGATCACGATGAGTTTAAACTCTCAGGATCAGTTTTCATTTTTCATCGAAGAGCGCGCAGTTTATGAGGAAGGCTTCATAAAATTAAAGACGTCTAATAAAAAACTTTCCTCTAACTTCAATCACCTGCTTCTCTTCGTTTACGGATTTCATTCTCACTATGATTGAAGTCCATTTTTCAGAACAAAAATAGAAAAGAGCCATAGTGAAAATTATAACTTATGCCAAACCTCAATTAAAACTTTCAATTTGTCAATTTTGATACTCTCAACAGCAAACAATAAGAATGTTTTATACATAAATCATGAAATCCATTCACATGATTGCCCAAAAGCCTACGCTACACGCACCAATATTCAAGAATATCTTCCTTCAAAAACTTACCCTTTACGCTCTGATGACCCAAAAGTAACTACCAAACGTTTAAAGCTCTTTAAACAAGTAAATCTCAAAATAGTTAATTTCCTGATATCCGACGTAAGTAGCCTAGTTGCTGATTGTCGTATTTAAATGACTAACTAATTACCTACATGCATATTAACTGCATATTCTGTGAGGCACAAAGGAGAATTTGCAGGTGTCTGAAATTTGAAGAATTTCATGTTGAAGTGCGGAAACTACTATTTGAACTGGACACGTGGATACCATTAGTTGATTAATCCAGTATTTATTGAAGGAGATGTGACGAAAATATCTAATTTGCTAAAATACACGCGATTTAATGGGAAATGCCGCCAGATGACGTCAGAAGGCGGTGTATTTTCTCACTTTTAATTCAATTTTTAGACTATTTCCCATTACAGAAATAAAAGTATGAAAAATACTGCGAAATCAGCTCTTTCAGCACTCTCAAACGAAGCAGTAAAAAATTTGCGTGCAAATTCTCCATTATTCTTAAAAATCACTAGAAATTTCACGTTTCGAACCGGAGACTTAAACGCTGGAGTAAGAAAATAGAAGCGAAACGATGTATTAAAAGACAAAACCATATAGGCAAAATGAATAGATTCGCGAAATGGGAATGATAAAAAATGAGCAATAATCAGGGCAAAGACCTTGCGGATGCGTTGAAGACGAGTTATATCAGAGCAGTCAGCTGAGAAGTAACTCTCATTTTCAAGGTGGGTATCCTCCAAACATCTCGGCTGCGCCGTTTGTTGGTCAAGTTCATTGTCGAAGTGAAAGGGAACTGAGATGCTGGGATGGCTCCGGTGCAATGACCTTTTAACGGTGATTCACAAATGGACGTATTTCTGCCAAACGGAACTATGTGCATTAACACATGAGCCCTGGGACCCATAAGAATATATGCATAACAGGGCTCACGTCGTAATGCACATAGTTCGTTTGACAGAAATATGTCCAAATGATATTTGATCGATCAAAAAAGTAAACGATTTCTCGATCGATGGAATTACGTCGTTTGTTTATTGTTCAGTTCCACCTATCACACGCTCCCCGTAGTCAAGATTCGCATTATACAGCCCGGCTCCTAAGTAGATATATTTTAAGGCGCAGACCCCATAAGGATTAGACCTGATATTTGATTTTTTATTGTTGATCATCTGAAGCGCGGGATTTTCAATTTTTCCACGATATATTTTTCTCTCTGTAGAATTTGTTTTTCATTTCGATTTAAGAATGTTAAAAACGCGTGAGAAATTTTCCGTCCAAAAAGTTCCGTACAGTTTCGTTGCCAACAATAGATCTCAGTGAACAGCTTGCTCAGTATAATTTCGTCAAGTGCGACGCTTGAAACACATGTGAGTGACAAATTTACTAGGTCTAATTTTCATAGTATATTCTAGGTCTAATCCTCATTGGGTCTGAGCCTCAAAACATATCTACTTGATTCCGCACGATTTTTTTTATTTTTTCTTTATTTTTTGTCTCTTTTTCAGATGGGCGTACTCATGCCAAAAAGA